CCACACTTTTCCAAATTTTTATATTATAATCCTTTTAGTTGCTTATTCATTTTTCCCGGTAAGACTTAATGTAGCATAATATAGAATCCTAAATAATTAGTAATGTGTAGAAATATAAACAGATATACGAAAGTGTGGCCGGGCACAGTGGCTCATGCCTGTAATCCCAACATTCTGGGAGGCCAAGGCTGAAGGATTACTTGAGGTCAGGCATTCAAGACTAGCCTGGCCAACATGGTGAAACCCCATCTCTACTAAAAATACAAAAATTAACTGGGCATCACAGCAGGTGCTTGTATTCCCAGCTATTCGGGAGGCTGAGGCAAAAGAATCATTTGAACCCGGGAGGCAGAGGTTGCAATCAGCTGAGATCACATCATTGCTTGAGTCAATTATAAAGTACACAATGTTCGAAATAGAAAGCGTAGTGAACTGTTAAGAAACAAATATGCTGAAATACATAGGAAACTAATTACTGTTAAATAGTGCTCTGGTTTTAAACTGTTTCAGTAATACTCAATGCTCTATTAAGTTGGAACCCTCCCATGTTAAACTGGCATTTCATAATATTTAGTTTTACGCTTCTGACAGAAGTCTTTTAATGAACAATAAGAATATAATTTGTTTCTCAGAATCGTGTTAATTTGCCTATTTTGAAATTTGGATTCTGGAAAGGATAACACAAATGATTTGATTTTTTTCTGAAAATCTTTTCCTTCTAAGTTTTCTTTCAAAATTAATCCTTAGATATTTATTATAGTGAATAGCAATGTTAACTACTGAATACTAAATTGCTGAGATCAACTTAAAAGCTTTCTGGTTTTGACTCATTGACATTTGTATACCTGTGTACATTTGTTTTAATTGATTTTTTAAATAATATCTTTCCAATCACTGATGACTATAAATTATTTTACTGTCATTTATTTTTAAAAGTACTTCAAAATAATACTTTGTATTTTAATTTTAAAACAGTTGAATGTTAAAATGCAATATTTTAATCAAGAAGAAATATCATGAGAAAAACATTAGTAATGAAGAAGGTAAGAGCTATAGAAAGATGAGGCTTCTATTATTTACAAAGCTAATCTTTAATATATGATTTTTTTCTGACATACATAAATACCACCATTATAAAACAGTTTTAAAGTTAGTTTTAATAGACTGCTTTCTTATATTGCTTGTCAAAGAGAATAATGAAAAATAACCTCTAATAAATATTATTATTATTCAAATCACATTTGGCCACCAGAGCCATTATTTCTTAAATCATTATACTCTGGAAGAATTGACAGAAATACAATCTCTCAATTTAGGTTATGGAAATTACTTTCAGAAATAGACATTAAAGGATTCCAAAAATTTTAAAAATAGCTATCAAAACAGCAATCAGTGAAGCAAAGCATATTCTTGTAAAAATCAGCTCATGAATGCCATCTGCTTTGCAATAGGATACTGGCTTAAACACTAGAACAAAAAGATTTTAATAAGAAGTTTGTCTATTACTAAAAACTTTCTAAAATTATTAAACAAGTCTAAGGGGACGAAATAGCTTCAACAATTAATAGCCTATGTACTTTTTAGGCCACATAGAGGTGATAATATTTTAATTGTAGCTATTTTTTTTAGCACAAAAAGTAGTGTGTCCTATCATTGCCAAAATGTGATATTTCTGAAATATACAAACTATTTCTTTGATAGAAAAATCACTAAGAAAAATGTTATACTTTAAGAGAGATAAATCTTGAAAATTTATTTCAAGATTAGGTAACTTCTAGCTCTAAAAAATTCTTTGAATTTACATTGCTGTGCAATAGATAATGTCACTTTTCTCCCCGACTTTGTAGACAGCATGCTACAGTAACCTTCTGATTGAAGTTATTGATCATCTGGGTTAGGATGTGAATCAGTCTCATTGTGCAGAAGAAAGAGAAAGGGTGTAAGGAAGGCATTTTGAAGCTCTGGTTTATGGAATCCTCATAAACATAGTGCTAGAGATAATCCACAGATACATGCAAAAATACTAGATGGAAATAAATGGAGAAAGTATAGTTTGGTCCATGTACAAAATGGAAGAAAAACAAACAGGAAACAGAAGTAAAAATTGTAACACTGGGCCAGGTGTGGTGGCTCACACCTGTAATGCCACCACTCTGAACAGAAATCTGTATGTAGGAGTGAGCATACATATATCTGGGGAGAGAGAGGCACAGACATGTGCCCTGGGTGGGGGTGAGGTTGGCACATCCAAAGAACAGCACGGCCTATGGTCGGAGCAGAGTGAGAAGGGGAAAAGGTTTGAAGAGTGATCAATAAGGTCATGAAACAAGCAGAGATCACATCACATGTGGCTTTGTTAAGAAATTTCTAATGTATTTTGAATTTGATGAGATCTTAATAGAGTTTAAACTGTGCTGCAAGTAACATAATCTGATGTACATTTAAAAAAATCACTCTAGGTGCTGTTTAGAGAATTGATGGTAGTAAAGGCAAGTGTAGAAGGAGTCCAAGGGCTGTGCACATTCTAAATGAAAGATGATGGTGGCTCTGGTCTATGATCCTCATATCCACAGGAAATAAATCCAAACTTTGTAAGGCAGCAGATTAGATCTCCAGTGACCTGGCCCTCACTCGACTTTCTGGTTGTATTTACAGTAAACCCTTTTCTCTTCTTCTTTGCTTTATGTCTGTTCATCAATCTGAAACTTTGTCCATTTATTCCCTCTAGTTACAATCACCTCCATTTTTCTCTTCATGGTCCAGCAAAGGTCTCAATCTTCATGACTCAGACCTCTTCTTTGCAACCTCTCCTGACACTTTCAGGAGGAGGACAGATTGATTCAGAATCTGATAGAGTATAAAACTTATCTTTTAACTTGTATTATATGTGTCACAGTGTTGTTTCAGTGCCTACTGAGTGGTGTAAGTTTTTTCAATCTTACTGGTCTGTGAAAATTAACAACCTGTAAACTACTGAGCTAGCCTTCTTAAATTCACATTACTACGAATATTCCTAAGAAAATTATTTTTTTCAGTATAGTTAATACTTAGTAATTCACACTTATAATTAAGAAATTTATTTACTTTAAAATAGGCTCAAAGTATGTCTAGACATTTGCCTAGAAATTATAAAATTCACATCTTAGACTCATAGTCTCTAGAGTGTTAAAAACACTGCCTGTGTATAAAATGATCTACCTGTGCATGTAATAAGACAATACCTTTGAATTTGTACTATTCCATATTAAAGTATGGATTTAACTTGGCCAACTGGAAAAAGAACCACTGAATTGTGCTTTGAGGCTCAAAACACCTAGGGTTTTTCAGATTCTGGATATTATTTGCTAATTCTACTCAACTTCCTTTATGATTAGCTTATCAATATTGCTGACACAATCAGTAATACAACCTTTACAACCCATTGTATCAATTTCCAAATGGATACATTTCCAAATCCAAAGTGCATACTTTGTGAGGAAAAAAATATTGATAACTTGAGACTCTTTGTTAGCTGAGTTCATCTGAATTAAGGGTACAGGGATACATATTATGTAAATAGTAAATATTCCACCTGGAAAGCCCGTTCTTTCTAGTAATGGAAGTCTTCACTATTGCTTTGAAAATACTGCCAAAAATCATATTTCAAAGTTGTTCACATTAACTCTTTAAGTGAATTTCTAGAACAAACTTATTTAAAAAACCCTATATATTATAACTAACTTAAAAATCACTTTTCAACAATATTAATAGATTAAATTCTGGAAACAACACTACGCATGAAATAATTCTCTGTATACTGGATGAAATCTCAATATACCAGAGGTTTCCTGATTCTATAGTTATTACCTCTCCCCTTGACGTGAAAACAGCTTTACTTTTAGCTTATGTAAATATGTAATAATACAATTCTACTAGAAAACTAGAAAACAAACATAAATTTATAATTTACTATTATGACCTTTGATGGCTATATACCTACAAGTAGACTTACAGTCATATATCATGACATATTTTTCAGCCCACAGCCAGTGTTTAACACATATGGGTCAGTGGAAATGTAACACTGTCTCAGAAAAACCTACTTAGAAGCTTCAGGGTTCAAAAACCTAGAGCTCAGTAATCATGCATTAGGGGAACTTCTAATTTGAACAGAAGTCTTGTTCTAAATTGAGCTATTACATCTGTCAATCACTTTCTGGATAGTTAATGTATATTAGATTTTCTTAAGTAGGAAATATCTGGTTTATATCTGATTATCAACGTTTCTTATTCTCTGTTATACAGATCTTCACAGATACATCTGTATATGTTCTTTTCCCCTTGAAGCATACCTATATATTTGAAAATAATTAATTTATATTATCCAAAGAAACATGAAAAATTATTTTCACTTCTGTGAGCACTAGGACTAAGGTTTACCTGAGTTTAGATTAATAAAGTTGCCAGAAATAAAATAAGCATGGATGAACTATGATGATTATATTACACTTTTATCTGTCTGCCTCAGAAATGTTCTCTTTTGACCAGTAAGTATTCCAAGCCTTTTAATGAAAACATTCTGGCTGGAGGAAGAGGATACTGACAAGATGATCTCTCCCACTAAATATCCATGGTCTAAATTTATAGTCACCTTTTGCATTATCTGTTTAATGTTTCCTATAATGCCTGAAAATGAATATTATGTTTACTGAAATCACAGTTACAGTTGACATTTGGGAGATTTTGATATAAGAATAAGACTTTCGATTTCATTGTCTTAAAATAATAAAATCATTTTCTTCACATAATGTTTTCTTTGGCATTTTTAAGGAATGTATGGTTTTCTACACACACATACGCACACACACACATACATAGTGTAAATTTCTAAGGCAATAATCTTCACTCTAATCTAGTATTAGGTTTCTAAGGTACCAGGAGCCTGATTGCCTCCTAAAAGTCTGAAAACACATGATTAACAACTCATCCATTGCCTTCCAACTGAAAAGAATCACTCTTACCGTATAGCCCTCGGTATACTGAAAAGGAGCCCTGGAACTTTCGTCTGCTGTTGGACTCAGAGGCTTGGGGTCAGACATAGAACGCTGCATCATCTTGGCTGCCTTAGGACTTGCTGGGGGAACTTTAGCCATATCTGGATGCAGTACTTTCTGTGGACTTATATCATCAGGGAGGGGTTTTTCATAAGGTACAAAGGCTGATTCTAAGGCTTTGCCTGGTGAAAGTGGTGAGATGGGTGAATAAAGGACTTTGGGGGATTTGGGTGGGGAAGGAGCCAGCTGTACTGTGGAATCTGCCCGGAGGTGAGATGAATAACCAATCTCTAAAGGTGTTGGGCGTTTCTTGTCTTTGGGTGGAGATGTGGCACTCAGGTATTGAGGACTTTGTGTGTCTGAATCTGCTTCTGTTTGACATCCTAAACTGCCCCCTTTGTAAGTCTTTTCAGGTGCTGAAATGTGTTTAATTATTTCTACCTTGGCATCCACTCGTGCCCGTATGGAGGGTGTTCTTATGGTTCCAACTGGTTCAGTTTGCACAGATATCTCTGCTACCGTTTGAACTGCTATGCTGGAGACTTTGGAAAGGGGTTTGGTCTTGTCAGCCTCTGTCATGCTGTCACCATATTTCCCTACACGAGCTTTCCTCCTTGATCTAGTAGGCACATCCCACTCATCCTGATCTTCATCATCAGTTTGGACGCTTGTATCCACACTCTTTTTAGTTCTCCTTCTCCTACTCACATAGCTCCGATCTGTGGCATCTTCGTCATCCGTTTGTACACCACTGTCCACTATCTTTTTAAAACTTCGGGGATCATCTGCCATATTTTCTCCCATTTCATCATACTGTCCTCGGACTTTAGCTCCAGAACTTCTCTTTTTGGGCTGTTTTTCCTCTTTTACAACAACATCTGTTAGAGGTATTTCTGAAACAGTGCTCAGGATACCAGGTGGGGCAATGTACTGAGTAACACCATCAGACTGAACGGTGTACCATCCTTGGCTTTGTGGTATTTCAATTGCCACAACAGCTGAAGCTGTAGTGGTTGCATCTTCAGTTGCCCAAAATTGACTGCCTTCTGGGGCAGCATACTGACCTTCCAAAATTGCCTGCTCTGTAGTGGTTTGTGGAGAAGCAGTTCCAGAAGGGTCATAGTTATACTGGTAGATCTGCCGAATCTTTTGCTCCTCCAGCTGCTGGTGAAGCTGTTGTTGCAGCTGTTGGATCTGCTCAAGCTGTAACTGTTGCTGAGCTAACGTCTCCTGCCTCATCATGAACTGGGCTTGCCGCTCTTCTTCTTGCTGATAGAGAAGGTGTTGCTTCATAGACTGCAGCTCCTCCAACTTTTTCTGAACCATGATCTTTTCTTGTTCTCGGAATCTTTGAATTTCCTGACGTTCCCACTCCAATTCCTCAGCAAAGCGCTGTTGCTTAATTTTCTCCAGCTCCAGGAGCTCACGCTCCAAGTCTAGCTGCTGCTGTTGTTTATCTTCTTCAGGGACAATCAAAAGAGCACTTTCATCTCCCACCACTTCAGGAAACACTTCAGATGCTGTGGTTAAAGTGGGAACAGAGTCTATTGTCTCAGCAGTAAGAGACTCCATAGTAATAGTTTGCAAGCTGGCACTGATATCAATACCAGTTACTGCAATGTCCGTTTCAGATGCACCTGTTGTTATAAAATACGATCTAGGCATTGGCTGGCTATGGTGCAGGGCAGGTAATGAAGTCACTGCATCAGTTGTATGAATACCAGACAAATCCCTCACTGTGGTGCTGAAAATGGAGCCGGGTTGTGTGGTGATAGCAAAGGTAGAGGGTGTCGGAGTTGCTACTGAAGAATAGACAACACCATTAGATGACCTCAAAACACTCCCCACACAATACTGGGGTCCTGGCGGTGGTGTCATTCTTGCTGTGGAATACTGTGGGGTACTAATCCCAACTCCTGAAATGACTTGTCGTGTTTCTGGATATGGACCTGTAGTCTTGCTTGAATAATCCATTACCTCACCTGAAATACAGGGCAGAGTTATAGTCCAGTTCCCAGAATGAATGCTGCTTTTTGAGTTTGAAAACCCTCTCATCTTGATGAACACAATGAATGAGACTGCATGCAAATCCACAGGTTAACCTAATTAGACGCGGAATGAAAGCAATGTTGAACATGCAGGCACATGCAGGTGATTTTGAGCAGAACAAAATTTTTTTTAACATGAAGGAACAAAAGCGCACATGTACTCCAAAATATGCTGCTAAAACATCCAAAGAAAGAGAAAAAGTAACAAAACTGGAAAAGGAACCACATTTTCATCCTGAAATGAGATGAGGAACACCATAATTATATTTCAAGGAAAGGTCTGCTGCCACATCATACTGACCTGTAGTAACTCTCCCTGAAGTCAGATCTACTGCTGTGTCAGTTCCTTCAGAATAATCAAAAGCATTCTTACTTTTATAGAAAAAATGTCCAGCTTCTGCTAAATTTGTGTCAGACATGGAAGGCTTCATTCCCCCAATCCCTCTATAACCATATGGCCCTGATCGATCATACTGATAATGGTCATCCCTATAACCAAAACGATCCTCAGGAAGAGTAGTTGCAGGCTGCTGTGCTGTGCAGCTCCTTCCAAACGGTAATTTATAAACCACATCACAGCACACAGCTCTTCTCCCTGCTGTTAAGTCAACAGGTTTTTCATCATCTTCTATTATTTTGGTCATCACACTTGAAGTAGACTCATCCATTGTTACGACTGTTCTATGAGACTTGGTTGTACTGAGATCCACTGCTTCCCCATCAGTGATCCCCTGGGATATGGTGCTATCAGTCCATCCATTTGTGACACCAACAGGAGGCACAGTGACAGGTTTTGTAACAGCCAATGTCATTGCATGTGCTGGAGTACCTAGAGATAAGTTTATTGGCGCTTCTTCCCTAGCTATAGGAAAGACCTGGTCACTTGGTATCCTGTATAGGGGCTCAGCATGCTTTGATGTTGTAAGCTGGAGTGGTGTTGTCATTGCACGTTCTACACCCACTAGACTTTCTGTGCCTGTAGTGTAACTTGCACTAGCTGTGCATGTGACAAAGGTCACTGTCTCAGTGGGCAGAGATACAGGAGTCACTATTGATGATGTTACACTAAGATTTATAATAGAGGGTTGGACAGCACTAATTTGTTTCCCATAAACTTCATTTGTTGTGATCTGCCTTTTCACATCCATTGTAGAAGCAGAAAGATCAATACATTTATCAGTTGTTTCAACTTCTACCTTTGGTACTGTACGCAAATCAATTACATCACCAACAAGTTGCAATTTTCCATCTTCTTTATACTGAGGCTTCTCTAAATGTAGGTTATCTAGAGCAAGAGGCTCTGGAGGAATTGTTATGGAAATGCTGCTGAGACCAACACTAGGAGCTGTACTTCCGGTTGCTGAAACCTCAGTCTTGGAAACTTCAGTAGTGACAAACTGTGTAACTGACATGGGAGTTGCTTGAAATGAAGAGGGTGCTGTGACAGGGGTAGCAGAAAATGTCTGTAAAGCTCCAGAGATATAGAAGGTCTGTTCTGATGAACTTGGAACTTCTACAGCTGTCATAGGAGGAATTACAGAAAACACAGGTTCAACAGAAACCAGATCTTTGGAGGGTGACCCCAAGGGCCAACTGGTAATTGCTTGACTAGCAGAAGCATCTGTTGGAGTCCCAGGTTCAGATGGCAATGTAATAACTACATAAGTTTCCGTGAGGGATTTGGAAAATCTTGGTGAGGACTTGTTGGAGTGTGGGGAAACTGGGGAGGTAGGGGAAGGCAATTTATAATCTGCTGAAGTCACTAAATTTAAGGTCATACTTGAAGTTAAAGATAGGCCTGTTGGTTTGGGGTGTATATCTGTTGGTTTTTGTGTAGTTGCTGGAAGCTGAGGAATCACTGGTTTGGGGGCGATTGGAGGTTTGCTTGGCTCAGGCCTGTGGGTAAATACAAGTCCAGATGGAATTGAAGATGGCTTAGGAGGAACAGGAGGAGGTGCGGTGGTATATATTCTTGTAACAGGTAATCCATTACTTCTCAGAACAGCTGTGGTCTCTACAGTAGTAACAGCATCAAACAGAGGTGTAGCTGTAGTCACTGGAGCTGTAACTGTTAACTTTTTTTTAGGAAGAATAGTTGGTTTAGGTAAAGTTGGTGGAGGAAGTGGTGGGGGAGGAGGTGGTGGTGGTGGAGGAGGAGGAGGAGGGGGAGGGGGAGGAGGGGGAGGAGGTTGAGCTGATACGTCCAAAGAAGAACTTCTAAAGAATGGGCGAGGTTTAGTTGGAAGAGAGGAAACAGAAGGACTGCCAGATGGTAACTGAGACGCAGGTTTCTCCTGACCAAAGGTCTCTCCAGATGTAAAGTACGTAGTTGAAAGCTGCTCTTTCATTGGAAGGGTTATTACAGAAGAAGGTGGGTGATCAAACACAGTTTCAGAGAAGTTACTTTTTGTTAGTTCGGCCTCCAACTCCTTTTTATCTCTGTAAGCTTCCAAAACTTCCAGAATGATTCCATTCCCAGTTTCCTTCTTGGCTTTCTTTACTGGGTCCTTTTCAGCTATAGATAAGTCAGTAGAAATAGTGTCAGCAACTGGCCCTTCAGGTTTAGGTGCTACAGATTCTATGATAGAAGATGCCATATCGGATAAGGAAATAATATGATCAGCACTAGCTCTACCATCTGATATGGTAGTCCGATCTAAAGACACACTTATTTCTTCTGGGTAGTCTATAATGCTGCCTGGAAAATAAGTTGATGAAGAAATTTCCTCAGAATCCTCAAATTTAGTTATCATGTCCACTGGTTCTGTATAAACTGTGGTTATGCTATCCAGGGTAGTAATGGGTGAAGAGCTATCTGTGGTACAGACCGAGGAAACAGATGACGTGAGAGAAGGTGTGTCAGAGGGTGGGACAGATGTAGCACTTTCTGAAGGCTCCGAGTAGGTCAAAATCAGCGATTCATGGGCAATTATCTCTTGAATTTCTCTTGTATAATCAGTTACGTATTCATCCTCAATTTCTTCTGTTGAAAAATGTTGGGTTATTTTAACATCTGGGATAGACAGTGTTGCACTGCTGGTCGAATCTGTAAGAGATGCTCCTGAGAGAACACTTGATGTCAAAGATGCATCAGGCATTCTGTCAAAGTCCATGGTGGACTCTGTCACATCCTCACCGATGGGGGCCTGGGTTGGGCTAGATCCAGGTGTTAACTCCATCTGTTGCCTCTTCATAAGTTCTTCATAGGCAGCATCAGCATCTAGTAGTTTCTTTTCTTCTCCTGTAGAAGTTACCATAGTACCCAGGTCCACTATCTCATGGCTTTCTGGGATGATAAAAGAGCTTGAAACAATATCTTCCTGAGGCACAACAGAATGTAAGCTTTCTAACTCATAAAACTCTTTCTGGAGGTCTGTAATTTTCTGCATAGGATCTTCATAAATTTGTTCTGAAAGTCTTATCTTTTGCTCTCTTCCTCTCTGCTGCATAAATCCATTTTCTTCTTCTTGCCTTGTTAGCAGGCTGCCATCTACAGATCCATTGTACGTGTCTTCTACTAAAGATTCATAAATATAATCCTCTATTAGCATTCCACCATACAAAGGCTCTTTTTCAAATACTTCATCTCGTTCATTTGCAGCTGGAAAAGCTTTGTATTTGTGTGTTTTATGCATCATTTCTTCATACATCTCCTCAGCACTTTTTAACGCCTTTTGGCTACCTTCTTTCTGCATAATAGATTGCTCATCTGTTGGTGAGTATAATGACACAGCTGTGGGCAATTTATAAACTTTTTGTACTTCTATTATTTTTTCCGGGCTTATTTCAAAACCTTCTGGGTCTGATTCTATGCTAGGTGAATATTCAGAACAAGAAGATCTATGGAGCTCCTCCATTTCTGCAGCCTGACGTAACTCTTCTGTTGGAGATGCATCTTCAATGGGAGAGAGATTACTAGGTGGTGTCTTTGGCCTTTCCCTTCTTCTCTGAGCTCGAAGTTCGTCTTTGTCTTTCTTTGATTTTTTACTAGAAGTCTTTCTTTGTTGCTGTTCTATTTCCCTCTGCTTTTCTTGCTCCTTTAATAATTCTTCTTCCTCTCTCAATTCTTCTTCCTCTGAAGAATCTTCAATAGTAGGCAAAAGAGGGCCATGTGATCTGTGCCGAGCTTTGCGTTGCTGTTTGCTCTCTCCTTTTTTGTGACTTGGGCTACTGTCACTGTCCTCATCAAGTGATGATACTGATGTAGGGGATGTACCAGGAGTGAAGCTGGAAGCATGCAGACTCGAAGACCCCTCTCCCCTTGACCTATCTTCAGGTGAGTCTGTCAGGCTTTCCATTTCTAATTCTGGCTCTTCCTCAAAATACAAACTTGTTTTTTTCTGTGATGACTCTGCAGAATATTTATCTGTTATTGTACTGTTGAGTTCAATTGTTTTAAATCGGCGTAGCCCTCCTCCTCCAGCAACTACAAGTTCTTCACTTTCCTGACTTTTAGTTTCTCTGTATTTAAGTTCAGGACTTTCATCAAATGCTTCATCGTCTTCATCATGCCATGAGTGACGTCTTCCTACATCATCATCAATGCTTGTGCTACTTTTTCGAGTCAGTCGTCTGTGTTTCCCTGCTGTTATTTTGCCTTTTCCCTTGGTTTCTTCCTTCTTCTGGCTCTCAGTACTACTACTAATCTCTTTGAGCTGGTTCCTGATGAACTCATCATCTTCAGAACCTGAAGCATCTTCATCAGCACTCATTTCTATGATTTGTTTTCGAATGAAGTCCTCCTCTTCCCCTGATCCTTGGCTGTCTTCCTGTTTATACTCATCACTGCTTGATGAGCCAACACTAGTTCTTCGTTTTCTTTGTGGAACAGGTGAGTTTTCACTTTCACTACTCTCTTCAACTGAATCATAATGCTCTCTTCTAGTAGTTATGTCATCAACAAACTCAGACTTTTCTTTGTAGTCCTTGCTGGAAGGAATATCTTGTTGGGTATCTTTTTTTAAAGTGTCTTTCCTTTCTTCTTGACTTTCTTTGATCCCCTCTTCTGAAATAGTAATTTCCAAGGTTTCAGACACACTCTGAGTTTTCTGTTGGTCCTTAGGTTGCTCAGGAGAAACTTCATGGGGTTGTGTTTTCTTTTCTGACTTTTCATCAACAAGTGTACTTGCTTGAGCTTCCAAAATAGATAGGACTGTACTTTCTAATTTAGCCAAATCTGAGGGGCTGGAAGGGCTGCTTTCTTGTGAAAAAGAGTCCTTTTTGAGTCCCTTGAGAATATCCTTTTCATCAGTTGGAATAAGACTTGGAATTTCACCAAGTGAGCTTGATATTCCATCAGAAGAATATCCCGTGTCGCTCAGACCTTGGGGGCTTTTAGGCTGCTGAGAACTTGAGGTGTCTGATTTGTCATCTTCCTTTTCCTAAGCAGGGAGATAAAGATACAGGAAAACTTAACATGGTTAAACTAAAAACATGGCCTCTCCATTACTATCAAATAACTATTAGGAACTGAAAAATAATTTTGGAAAATTTTTTCAACCATATGTTAGTATTTTTTAAAAGTTTGAGAAAAATATTGTTGATATGTGTTGATAAGGTTAGTTTCCATTTAAACTAAATTTCACTAAATGTCAATTCTCAATGACATTTGATCTTCTTTCATAAATACCCTTTCATATTTCAATGTCATTTTCCATTAAAATATGATTATTTTTCTCAATAAATTTGCTTTAAGATAAAGTTTATAAATTGTGATGAAGATGTTTAAAGATAAATTTTCTATTAACATGATTTACTTTTGGATTATAAGGTCAGGAAAAGTTCAAAAAAGTATCAGACAATGGGCTTTGTGCCTGGCTGCAAGTTGTAAGGGATGTTGGAGAATTCACTAAACAAAAAAAAGCAAGTAACATGCCATAATAACATATGTGCCATGTACCACAAATACATGGTTATCGTTCTTGTCAAATGATTCAAACAAGGCATTGCTTTTAAAAGACATTTTGAAAGTTATGAACCACTATATATACTTGATATTATTAATATCATTACTCTATATCACTTGGAATGAATGTTTATAAATTATGTACTTTGAAAAAGTTATGCAATAATTGGTCTGACTTATCAGTTCAGCTAAAGAGAAATATCCAGCTGTAATTTTTTGTAGAGTTGTTAATCACATGTATCTTCAGCATCCCATCTCAAAGGTGTTTCACTAATGTCACTTACAAATACCTTTTGATTTTGAAATCTTGTTTATCTTGAAAAGCAGCTTCCTTAAAAAATAAATAGCTTTTGTGAGCAGGAGCATGGGCCTTCCAGAGATCTGGGACCCTTAGCGACACACCACAACCCTGAACTTGTTGCCTTTCTTGGGCTATGATGATGCCATGACAACAATTTAGGTTCAAGAATCAGAGAGGCCTTAAATAAAAATTAAACATAGAGACTTGTTGCATGAAGACTTTTTTGTTAAGTAAAAATATATATGAGTAAAATAAAACTGAGTCAGTTAGTTGTCCTGTTTAAAGGAGGACACAATAGTCTTACAGCCTACAGAAAGGAGGGGTTAGGGGAACAGCTGCCTAAGAGCATGCTTCAGCTCACTCTAGCCTATGAGGCCACCTTAATTCCACTACATCTGTATCTTGAGCTGTCTCAATATTATCAGTGTGTGAGTTGGCATAAGCTCTTCTGATCTAACTATGGCCCAAATAAACAGATATAAGGTTGCACAACAAACATACTCCTTCCTTCCTTCCTTCCTTCCTTCTTCCCTCCCTCCCTCCCTCCCTTCCTCCCTTCCTTCCTTCCTTCCTTCCTTCCTTCCTTCCTTCCTTCCTTCCTTCCTTCCTTCCTTCCTTCCTCCCTTCCCTCCTCCCTTCCCTCCTCCCTTCCCTCCTTCCTTCCTTCCTTCCTCCCTTCCCTCCTTCCTCCCTTCCCTCCCTCCCTCCCTTCCTCCCTCCCCCCTTCCTTTTTTTCTTCTCCTTTTTCTAGTTAGAGTTATCAAATATAAATATTGTTGGCTTGATGCTCATTTTACATTCATTTTCGTCCAAATATATACCTTTATTATGCATGGTCAATGATCTATCCTGAGCATATTATAGGGTAAAATGTTTTTTCTGAATTTACAATGTTACTCAATTAAAAAAGACAGTGTGATATATTCTTAACAACTGTAGTGCAAAAAGTAATGCCTACTCTTCAGTGTGCACCTAGAATTAACTACACTGTACCAATTTGAATGTCTTTCCAATAAATAATTTCTTATCTGCAGTTGTGAGACTATAGTAGGAGGGTTGATGAGCACTTAACTCATTTCAGTTCCTTTCTTATATTGAAGTGGCAAGCAACAGTGAAGCTGCCTATGGTGGTGATACTGCAATGATTTTTTTTTCCCCTAAATGACTTTTGCATATTATAAGGTGGCAAGTCTGCAAAGTGTTTACTCTCTAGGCTTTTTCCCTTTTCCTTCCAATAACCCCCTGTCATTTATTGAGCTGCAGACCGGTCAGTGAGAGGCACTGATGAACGGAGCCCCATTTGGATCTCTTCCGATGGTGGTGTATCTTGAGGCCTTCACTAGTAGTGGAGAATGTGCCAAGACACATCTGCACTGCCAAATTTGGTTTTGCTCTTTTCACAAAAGCCTTCCATATTGAAGGCAAACAGAATTGTTTTGAATATTATTAACGAACTGAATTCTAGATGACATATAAAACTGTGCAAAGAAAGGATGCAGTGTTAAGTTTTTGTTTAACTTTCCCAAAGCCATTTATTTTGATGGGCTAAAATTAAACAATGAATGCAAATCTTATAATTTACATAAAGTCTACATGAATGCAGATTACTGATCTGAGTGTTTGAAATGCTCCAAACAAAATGAAGCCAATAAAATTCACTGGACCTGGAGTGAAAGATCGGATGCTCACACCTAAGCACTATAATATGGGAGTCCTTCTCACTACAGAAAACATGATTATTTTTCATCCTTTCTGATTAGGCAGTCACTTATTGGCTATATGTAACTTGAATACTAACCCTCAGATCATTTTAACCAGAAATAAAAGTACCTGCTAAAGAGTGTTCCAAGTTTGGTTTCTATGGGGAGAGTATTTTAGTGTACTATATCAAATAAATATTTAAACAGTATTCTGTTTATGTATATAAGTAAAAAGATAAAATTCTACAGCAAACATGAATTTTAAAATGTTAAAGTAAAAATTTAAAGATGTGTATGTAATTTTCAAATTGTTATACCTCAGGATTAATTTTAATGCTATTCAACAAACATTTTGAAAGACAGAAATGAATGAAGTGACAAAATGATGTTGCAACAATGAAATGTAAACAATGCACTATAATAATATGAACAACACAAATGACAGCTAAATTAATGAATAAATAATACACATATATAAATAGAGTAAATATTATACCAAGTGTTTGGTATAGCAGTGAGGGTTGCCAAGAGAGATGGATGATTATAATAATGGAAAGCCAGTATCCTAAAAGTGTCATAGGATAAAACATCTTGTGCAGTGGATGAGAGCACAGTCTTTGTAATCAGTGCTGGACTATAATTCTAGTACTTCTGCCTTCCAGCTATGTGATCTTGGGCATGGAAATTCAGTTTCCCCATCTTTACTAAAGCTATCATAATATTAACTTTATCAATCATTGTATAAGGAAGTACTTAACACAGGAGCCTGAATAGTAAGAGGTAAATTAAGAGTATTGTTTTGATTGTAAATAAAAACTAATTAAGAAATTAATCATTGCAGAAAATTCTGCATCAGGAAAACTGACTACCACTAGGGAATAGAAAGGCAGACTTATGGAAGACATGCTAGCAGATTGGTGTGGAGGTTCAGGGGATTTTTTTCTGCCAGATGATGTGAAGGTGCGGCATCAGTGCACATACAAAAACTGAGAACAGGTTCACAAAGGAGAAAGCACAAGCTATGTTCAGGAAACACACAAGGCATATTTGGCTGTTTTTATTTAATGTCTCCCCATAGGGAACGTTAGCAGTTGCTTGAAAGTTGTGTTGGAGCCAGATTCCAGAAGGCTGAGAAAGCCAACTAAGCCATTTAGACAGGAGTCTCCGCTGTGGGGTGCATATACCCTGGTAGCTATGCAAAGTGCTTCAGTGGAATACAATGAGAAGACACTAGGATTTTAGTTGTATTTTTCAATCCAAAATGGAGGATTAAATTAAATTGCACTAATATTTAATCAATAGATGGGCAATACTATTATCTCACGTGTCATGTCAGTTGGTCACATGGTCTGTGAGGACTCCTGGGAGAAGGCCGGAAGTTATAATGAGGCAACCAACTATAAAGAGAAGTTATAGTGAGGCAACCACTTCACTTGCTCACCTTTATGTTGAAGCTTATTGTTCAGTTATGCAGATTTATGGTTTGTAGTTACAATAAATCACCTAGCTTTAACTAAACCAATTTTCCTATAATAGCTAAGTAGTAGAAAAAAAATTCTGCAAAAAAAACATTTGTTAAAGATCAAACTAGTAATGTAAGATATACACACATGCACTCATAAGAAAGCTAACAGTTTTCATATTGCTACAAGCTTTCAATCAGTTTTCATAACAAGGTGAGAACAGTGATCACCAAATTAAATCAGATCTGACTTGAAGTTAGGAAAAAATGCTTGACATTATTAGGAAAGCTATTTGAAACCTGTTTCTGCATCTATTATTGCTAATAACAAACCTTACCCTAAATACAGGACGTGCTTTGCATCAAAGCCAGTGGTATTATGACACTATCACAAACTTCTGTAATTTTCAGCAAATAAGTTTTCTAGTACTTCATAAGTTTTCACTAACTTGAATAATAACCATTGGGAATATTCTTTTGAATTTTCTTGCTCAATAAGAAAAATTACATAACAGATGGGGAATTTTTTTTTTGTCATGAAAAAATGACTAAAGTAATATGTGGAATCAATACAGTGACAAATCAAACTACATTCCTTTGTCAGCAAATGTTGTTGGAAGAAACAAAGAAATAATTGTGGAAGGTTTGGGAAAAAAATATTAGAACAAATTTAGTAGCAAAAGATCTAATAATAATATAATCCAACTATGGAGATTTCTTTACATACTCAGTTCATAATAGTTCCTATTTCTCTTTAATTAATAATAAAATATTTTAAGAATTACTATTGTAAACCCTCAAGGAAAAATGCACCAATGAACACATAGCCTCAATGTGGACTGATTTGTTTAATTCAAAAAATGTGTATTTTTTAAATAAAAAAATATTAAAAATTGAGAAGTAATTTCTCTGATTGGAATTATAATTTTAAAGAATAAGGTTAGGGAGATGGCAGTACATGTGAAAAACATTTATTCATTACAAGTAAGCCAGAATTAGACAGACTGCCTCAAGATATTACTGATGCAGTACACTGTATACTAATAAGAACTTCATATTTTGAAGAACATTTATTTTGTACTGGGACAGAGAATATGACATTATTTTTGACCATGACACAGATATTTACTGTTTATCTCATGGAAAATTAGTTAAAAAGCCGCAGAACGTGGAGATTTGATCCTTACTTAAAAATAGAGGATGGCAAGTGCTTTTCAGTAATACAATACTTATTAGACAGCAAGAAAATAAATACGAATTGTCAGCAATATGCTGGGTATTTGATATTTAAAGCAAAATAAACAATACCTGTTTCTCTGAGAAAATTATAATGTGGAAACAGCTCTTTGAAGATAAATATTTGGAAATTATTATATGATTATGCTATACAAAATAACATATGTCACTTTTAAAAGTTATCGTATCTGCTCATGTAACAAACTTTAAAACAGAATATTTTAATCTGTTTAAAAACCTTCTAGACAAAGAAATGCAATGGGTTTGAAAATCGTTTGCTGAAAATGTATTGTAAAAGCCCCACATTTTCTGATAGTTAACAAACACAAATGATTGATATTAAGGAAGGTTAACACTTATTTGTGCAATTACCAATTCTTTTTTTCATAATTGGTTTACAATCCACACTTTAAAGAAAGGTAGCAATATTTAGTGAGAACAAACTGTGAGGTACTTCTTCCATTTGTAGCATATTCTTTTTAATTATCTTTTTTTCCTGCTCTGAATAGCCATTAAAACTGAACAACAAAGTATCAAAATAAGCTTAACTTTGAAGCTGGATTTCAAACAACTATATCATAAAGTTTTACACCAAGATCTTAAAAAATATTAAAACATAATGCTCTCTCTAAAATATCACTATTAAACACCTTTTAAGTGATCAAATGTATCTGTATTTACTATCTGCATTTAAATAAATATAATAACAATGGTAATTTTAGTTTATTTCACTATTCTTTGTGAATGTTTTATAAAGTAAATAGTCAAATAGTGCATACATAAAATTTATAAATAAATACATATACACATATTGTGGTTGTATAATGAAAGAAAAAGTAATAAAAAGAAAGTGATAAAGGTATAAAATAAAAGAAAAAAGTACTGCATTCAGGAAATATTTAAAAACTTCTTGCTTGGAATATATTTAAAATACAACAGGGAATCATTAGGAACATCTGAGTGATGGAGTTAAATTATCGGAACCCTAGAAAACATTTACCTGACAGCTATAGACTGGAGAAGGGATAAAAGGAAGGCATCCTAACCAGTAATTAGATTGCTCAAATAATTGGCAAAAGGTCATGAAAGCAGTAAGTAAGGTAGTGCCCTGAGGAACAGGAGTTAATAGACAGAAGTGTGATACTTTCATTGTGGAGAACAAAGGGCAGGTAAGAAGAAACCTTAAATCACTCAGAAGATTAGTAACTGGCAGACAGGAGACAGGTGCTTGATGGTGAAATAGAAAGTTACAAGCAGAAACTGTTTCTATGGAGAAGAGGAAAAGAGTCAGACATATTGAGTTTGCATTTACAGAGAGGCTTTGAAGTAGAACTGCTGACTAGGTACTTGAAAATGCAGGTCTGACACCCAAAAGAGGGACAAGAAGTACATAAGTGTATTCAAAAATTGTTCATGTAGCTCAAAGCAAAACAAGGGAAAATCATCTGGAATTTGCAAAGAGAAATCATAGAGATAGTCAAAGCAGATTTCATAAATTATGATCAGAAAGACAAAAAGAGAAGGAAAGTAGAGGGTCATGAAAGCCACAGAAAGTTCCACAAAGGGACAAACAGTACCAAGCACCATGCTCTACAAAGGTTAGCTAGAAGAAGCAATTCATGGTGCTGGTGGTGGCTAGATTCAGTCATTAGAATGGAGAATACATATAGGCATCTTTTTGACTCTGATAAAACTCACTTAATGAAAGGAGACCAGGATTTACTTAGATGATGCATCAGATAGCAGAGATGGGTTGGTAAGCATGTGTTAAAACTAAAGAAAACACAACTGAATCACAGTGAAACAAACTATAGTTTCTAGTTGGAATTTTAATACTATTAAATTATTTAATTTCATGGTAAGTCATTGCTGTCCTCTGTGAATTAAATGTATTCAGTTAAGTATAATGTAAGATCTCTTATAGCTCCAAAAAATATCAGAGTTCCTCTGAAAAGGATGTAACTGCTTGTGAAAATATTCGTTAAAATGGGTTAAATGAAAATTTTCCATTAAAGAAAAAGAAAAGAATATTTTTCCAAATTATGCTGATTATCAATAACCTTTCAATATTAAACACACTGAATAAAACTGCTAATAGAATATATTATATTAAAAATCATGCTAAATATTACACTGTTTTGTGAAATTTTAGAAAGACTTTTACTTTGGATTTTAGTTACATCACTTTTTTTCCTTTTTTCTTTTTTTTTGCAATCACTTTATAGCTGACCACACCTTAAAATGATTTCAACTGGGAAAAACCTTGTTGACTCTTACGTAAAAAAATGGTTAAGTAAACAGAAACTTACATAAAGACACATTATTTTACATTAAAGGGGGATATTGAGTTTTGTGTCCATAGTAGAGAAAAAAAGTAAAACTAGATAACTTCTTTATCACTCCATATGATTTTGATAGATTATTTGATAGGCATAAGAAACAGGGAAATAAATGTTGTATTTATGCTTTATGTACACTTCATAAAGCTGTGAAAAGGCCAAAGTTCTTCATTATAGTCAAACAATTGTTATACTTCTTTAAGAATGTCATTCATTGTTTGAGGAACTTCACTTATATAATTACCAATGAGCAACTTGTATACTTAGGTTAAAAATTAATAATTTCACACATGAGAGTGTGAGAAGTTAGTAAAATTTAACTTACTGTTTTTTCTTTCCCAGGTTCCACCTGATCAGGTTTTGCTGTGCACAATGGCTGTGGCTGTTCTTTTATTGTTTTGGTTGTCTTATCATCTTCTTTAGGTAAACTCTGAGGTGTGCCAGATGGTAAATCTTCCATCTTTGTCTGTGGTTGTTTCTCTTCTTGCACTGTCTTTGGAGCCACTCTGCCTTCAAGCTTTTCTTCAGCAATTTGTACTTGAGATTTAAGTAAGTCATGTTTTTGTTCTTCTGGGGCTGATGCTTTTGCCTCTGGGAGTAGCTTTTTGTCTTCAGGGATTGGCTTTTTTTCTTCTAGGAGTTGCTTTTTTTCTTCAGAACATATCTTTTCTTCTTCAGAGATTAGTTTTTTTTCTTCATGGAGTGGCTTTTTTTCTTCAAGAGCTGAAGCTTTGTCTTTCTCTAGTTTACTCTCTTCTTGTTTTTGATCTGTGGCTACCATAGGAGGAATTTTTTCCATTGATAGGGTTTCCTTTACTTCTTCCAGAATGACTTTTTCAGCTTCTGTTTTTACTTCTTGTTCTGGCTTTTTCACTAATTTTACTTGGGGAGGCACTGCTGTTTTCTGAGATGGTGATTCTGTAGGAACAGGCATGGGAGATGCTTTGGGTCCTGATGGCACAGGTGGCATTTTGCCTATGTCTCCAAGCTGTCCTGATATTGCTCTCTGGGTTTGGCAATTTAAACAGAGCCATTCTTGAATCTGTGAAAAAAAAAAATAGCAATGAACAGATTAAATGTATTATAATATATCTGTTTCTGTCATTTTACCCAAGTGAAAATTTGGTAATTCCTATCTGTTTTTGTATATGGAGAAAGTGGGTCACTGGTTTCCAAATCAATGACACAGTAGTTTTTTAAAACATTACAAAAAGGCTATTTGAACTCTAAAAGTGTATAGAATTTCTAGAGACTAGCAATTCACTATTGTCATTAAATGAGAAAAAGAAAAAGAAATAATTGCATTAAACGTGGACCCAGAGAAATATTCATTTTCAGGAAGAAAAAAAATCTGCATTTGTTCCAAATAAAATTATTTTAAGGCCTGGTTTCTTCAAAATTAGCATTTTCATCCAAAATTTATTCAAAGACTATTACATTTCATAATAACAAATTAATCAAAAGTTCTTTTAGGATTTAGCCTATTATCTCCTATCTCTTGACTTGGGCCAAATATAGTTCTACCTTTCAGAGTAGAGCTTTATAGGTATAGATAGTTTTCAAGAATCACTAGTGCATAATTTGCTATCTGCTTCCAGATTATGAACATAATTTCATTCTTAATACTTATCACATTTCCTCATGCAATTGAACAAGAAGCACTCCAAGGCTTAATTGTTTGGTATCTTTTTCCCTGAGTGTTCTGATTTGCTGACTAAAACATTTTCTTTCTTCTTTTTTTTCTTTTTGCCAGGCTGGGGTGCAATGGTGCAATCTCTGCTTACTGCAACCTCCGCCTCCTGGGTTCAAGTGATTCTCCTGCCTCAACCTCCTGAGTACCTGGGATTCAGTCATGCGCCACCCACGGCCAGCTAATGTTTTATTTTTAGTACAGATGGGGTTTCTCCATGTTGGTCAAGCTGGTCTTGAACTCCTGACCTCAGGTGATCCGCCCGCCTTGACCTCCCAAAATGCTGGGATTACAGGTGTTAGCCACTGCTCCTGGTCAAACATTTTCTTATATCTCTGCTCTTCAATGTCTAAGCCATGGTCACCTGCACTAAATCAACTGATAGGGTCTTTAGACATACAAATTCCTAGGAAGTACACCAAAACCATTTTAGCAGAATCCTGGGAGAGGAAACAGAAAGACCTGCCTTTTTGATAAACTGGTTAAGAATTTTTGCAAACCAAATACTAAAAACTACTCTCCGATAAGAATACAGAACAAATGATCACCTAGGAGACAGATTATGTTAGAATAATACTATGAAAGAGTTCCTCCCTGATTGGTGTGTGTGAGTTTGTGTCCTTTGTAGGGACATGGATGCAGCTGGAAACCATCATTCTTAGCAAACTAGCACAAGAACAGAAAACCAAACACCGCATGTTCTCACTCATAGGTGGGAACTGAACAATGAGATCACTTGGACTCGGGAAGGGGGACATCACACACCGGGGCCTATCATGGAGAGGGGGGAGGGGGTAGGGATTGCATTGGGAGTTATACCTGATGTAAATGACGAGTTGATGGGTGCTGACGAGTTGATGGGTGCAGCACACCAACATGGCACAAGTATACATATGTAACAAACCTGCACGTTATGCACATGTACCCTAGAACTTAAAGTATAATAATAATAATAAATAAATAAATAAATAAATAAAATATTTTTTCTTACATTATATCTATTCTATTGTTTAAAAGTAAAGGCTATGTATGTAGTTCTAATTGTTACCATTGAATGTGTACCCATTCTATAAGGCACAGGGTTAAAGTGTCATACAAATATTATTGTTTTCATGTATTACACTGTACTCTGAGAAGTTCAATTTCAAATTGCTTTTCATGCATGAAAAGGCTCGCTTTTTCCAGTTGCTTATCTTAAATTCTTTAGATACAAAAATCACTTATTGCTCTAGAATACTATCAGATATCTAAGTTTCATTTCTTATTTCAGGATCCAATTACTTTAGAAACTAACGATGTTGCTTAATAACTATGATTATTTTGCAATATGTAAGCCATTATAATTCTTATTTGCTGATCTAAAAGAGCAAAGACAAAAGTCAATTCTGTAAATGTGGTAAAATGCTGCCAATAAAATATTAGGATATATATGGACTCATTTTTTTGTGTGTATATATTCACTCAATATCAGTTCTCTTGTTAATTTCATGTCTAAGGAGCTCTGAAGTGAATTATGTGCCTTCTTTAATTAATGTCTTTATATAAAAGTCATAGGACAGAAGATTTGATTCATTATGTCAAATTCTAAAAGTTCTAGCTCTTGTGTTGAACAGTCCCTGAAGGAAGAACTTCTGTAATACCTACAGAAAATCAATCTTCATTGATAACGTAGTTTTAAAAACAATTACTTGGTTGAGACACATCTTAAGAGATTTTCATTCAGAGCCTGAGTTTTTTATTTTTATTTTTTTGAGATGGAGCCTCGCTTTGTCACCAGGCTGGAGTGCAGTGGCGTGATCTCGGCTCACTGCAGTCTCTGCCACCCAGGTTCAAGCAATTCTCCTGCCTCAGACTCCTGAGTAGCTGGGATTACAGGTGCACGCCACCACACCCAGCTATTTTTTGTATTTTTCGTAGAGATGGGGTTTCACCATGTTAGCCAGGATGATCTAGATCTCCTGACCTCATGATCCACCCGCCTTGGCCTCCCCAAATGCTGGGATTACAGGCATGAGCCACCATGCCCAGTCCCAGAGCTTGACTTTTTAAAACACAAAAACAGATACAAATGGCTGCATTACTGTGCAGTTTTGCCATATGGATTCTAAAAATGAAATACAGGTGTGTATTAAGCGTCTCCATAGGCCATGTTCTAATATAAATAAGTTAGAAAATTTTAATATACCAGAAATACAGGTTTCATTCCATTGGAAATTTTTGTCATTTAAAAAAGTGTGACTATTTTATCTGAGTTTTGGGGACGGGGACAAATTATTCTTACAAAATTGCCATTTCTTGCTACTTTACAGCATATGAGGCCACAATGGTACATGGCTTTAGGTACAAGAAAAATGTGTTGAGAAAATAAAACATAGTGATAATTTCAAGGTAGTATACTCATTATTTTCCTATAATATGAAATTCAGGTATCAGGATAAAAGGTATCATCTATGCAATCTATTTTGTCACATAAAATATTTCATTGTCCCAATTTAAAGTAAAGCTTAGTAAACCTATAAAGTGGTGATAACCACTAAACTACTAACGTTTGTAATGCAAACAGAAGGCAATAGTGTAAATCTGAGAGATAAAAGATCTTATCCTGAGAGCCTCATTGACTATTTCAAATTAATGTTTTGCTTAAATAGCCATCCATGTTCAGTTAAACCTAGCATTTTAAGTAATTGCTATTTTGCAATTATTTTTAACGTAAGGTTGCTATACTCAGTCTCTTGGGTGCATGACTAATTCTCATTGGGAAGGAAAGAAGGCAGCCAGTCTTTTGAACTTACACTCTAATTGTCACCAAAATTAATTTTAAATATTTCTATTACGTCAAATTATGACAAAATAATTCATTCATATATCTATTCTGTATGTATCTATTTGGTTTATATCTATTAGTTGGAAAGTATATATGCAAAGGTTATTTCATCAAGGAACCAGCATTCAAGTAGAAGAAATAATGCATGGTTGAAAATAAGTAAAATATGCAGTAAAAACAAAGAGATGGAGATACTGTGTTGCAATGCAGAAGAGGGAGATACCACTTCTAGTTAGGTGTTTTCCCAGAAGGTTTGGCCTTAAAATAGATACGTTAATAAAATGTGAATGTGAAATAAATCAATTTTCCTAAAAATATGTCTTGTCACTATTTGACATAATAGAAATATGAAATGAAAATGTCTATTCATATTTGATAGCAATCAGTCAAAATGTAAATACACATCAGGCTAAGGCCTTATTTCATTCACATTGAAATTCAATAATTAAGAGATGAGGCACAGCAAAAATCATATAATACATGCCTGAAAAAAGGCAATGATTAAAAACACTAAATTTGACCAAATCTAGATAAAAATTAAACAATAAAAATGTTCTTTAGCTTTAAGAAGATAATTGAAGATAAGGTTGAAGAGGCAAGTTGAGATTCTGTTAGGTGGCAATTATTCCCAAATAAATGGCACTTATTGCCATAAGCAGACATTTTGTAGAAGAAACTGGAATCCAGTGACGGTTCCTATAAAGGAGTAAAATCTGCTTTGTTAAGATCAGTCTGGCAGAATGTGGTTACCTACCTATGTTGATAAAAATTAAATCTAGAGGTAGAAAGAAACTATTAGAATAAATGGAAAGGATGGAATGAATATAACAGGATTATCTGAGGAATTTAGTTTGAAACATTAGGAATTTGATAAATTATAAGCCACAAAGAGTATGTTTTTCAACAATTAGAAATGCTAAACTGGTGGTCTTATATGTGCCTTTTCTCTTTTCGGTAGCCCTAGGACCAAAAATAAAATGTCAATAAATTCAACAAGCAGAGGAAATTATAATGTCAATAAAGAGTTGAAATGGAACAAAGCCCTACAGTAACACCAAACATTTTATAGTTTTATATATATAAATTCAAATTTTGTTTATTAAGGGGGAGCATAGGAGTATCACTGGAGGAAAAGGCAGAAGCTAGGTAAAATACAAAGAGGAAATGAGAGAAGAAAAATTTATCAGGTTTTTCACAGTGAGTAAAAAAGAATAACAGTAAGTTTTCAAGAAAGTTTATTTTGGACAATATGGGTCATCATCATGATCGTATCATCATTAATTATAAACAAACTGACTGGAAAAATTTGCTTCTCCCAAAAGTTTGGAAATACTCTATAACCACATAAGATATAAACATTTGTAGGTCACAATTTTTTTTCATTCTTTAACAAAAATAATCCAAAGATTCTTGCATCACTGTATTCAGGAATTTGGTTAAGAAATATTGTGTTTATAGTTCCAAAAGATGTTATCTATACTCTTAGTTCCTAAATAGCCACACCATTACATTTTCATATTGTTTCTGG